CTGAGAATCATTAGATTAGGCTATTGAAAACTCAGAGGCTATTCATGCTTCACAGCCACTTATAAAAAAAGAATATAAAGTTTTACTTTTTTAGGTGTTATATATAGTTCCTATCCACAGTTTATAGTGGGGGATTTTCGTTTTAATAATGGTTGGGGACAATGCAACATTATGGTACCATTTCAGCTCACATCAATGGACCGTTCTAGGATTTATTATCAAGACGACATCTACATACTGCTTTTTGATACAGCATGTGTTCTGATAGTGTTGTTTACGGGATCAATAGTGTCTTGGAGCTGTCATTGGTCAGTTTGATTGTTTGATCCTGATTGACCTTTTCTGCCCAAGAGCAGACCTTATGTTGAGATTATGTTTTCAACATGCCTGTGTTCAGGCTCTCCCATTTCAAAATACTCCACGGAAAACTTCTTTAACTGAAATATAGCAGTCTTATCATATTCTTAACTTACTCTAAAAATGTACAGTAGCAGAAGCTCAAGGCCAGAATATGAATTCAGTTTCTCTGTGTTCACATATTGTAGTTAAGGAATATCTCCTTGTATGTGAAGTTATAAGAAATGTTACCTGGACATTTTGGACAAATTGTATACCTAGTTTTAAAAAATAAATTTAAAAAGATTCTTAATTTTGAAAGCAAATGATGGACTTTTGTCAATAATGTTTGATTGCTTGTTTTGTTTTGTTTTGTTTTGTTTTGTTTTGTTTGTTTGTAGAGAGCTTAGAAACATACGGGGAAATCGATTTAATTCATTCATTCACTAATTTTTAAACATGTATACCTGTATTAAGCACATGCGCAGTTCCAGGCACCTGGGTTAGGCACCAGTAATTACATTAAAAAAAAAAAAAAAAATCCCAACTTACCAAACACCCCCACTATAAAAATACCAACTACCTTTTTGTGGAAAGGTAATTAGTATAAATAAAGGATCTGCTTAAATTCCAGCAAATAAGAGTAAGTAGGAAGTTGACTGCTATTGGGAAACTATTTCACTTATACGCGTTCAACTTCTAAACAGTTATTGTGGCTACAAATACCAAGAATGTGATTATTTCTGATTTTGCTCCCAGGTGAGAATTTGATCTTTATTTTTAAAGCTCTTAGGGGAGACAAAGCTTGTTTTATCTTGGCTATTTTAGTTAGTAAATTCTATCAGCGAATCTGCATACTAAGTGCACATATTTAGTTTAATCATTTGATTCTGAATAAAAATGACTAAGATTTTGTTGTCATTCCTCCCTTCTCTTCTTCCACTTGCCATTTCCTCTTTCGCCTTTTTCCCTTTCTTCATCTTCTCCAACATAGCAGTTAGAGGAAGTATCAGGCATTAAGTGTGCGAGAAGTACTATCCTGAGGTTTTTGCATGGATTAATTCTGCTAACCAACACAATGACCGGAGGTAACTGCTGCTGTTAGCCTGTTTTACAGATGAGGAAATGAAACACCAAGAGGTGAATCTGCCCAAACTGCACATGAGATTGGCTTAGTTGTTTATTTTCCATACTGTGTGAGGAAAAACTATGACTTATGACATAGATGAAATCAAGGGAGTTTCTCTTTATCTAGGTTTGCTTGTTAGCCAATGAAAGTGTTTTTAAACTTCAACCTCTCTAAATATTTATTATTGTCTGCTGATCTCTTTCATTGAGTAATCCACTGAATAGAAAATTTTAATGCTTAAACCAAGCAGAGTCATTGGGTATGTAAATACGGCAAGTCATAGTATTTGAAAATAGTGAAAGACTATGTTCACTTGGGATTCGGTAGGGCTTTTAAAAATAAAAATAATAATAGTAAGCAACAACAGAATGTAACACAAACTAGGACGCATGAGGATTGTAGTGCTGTTGGTTATTGATAGATGAGCACTCTTGAACACAGTTTAATCCAATTTACTTATAGTTTATATGATATTTTTTGTCATCTAAGAAGCATTGAAAAAAATGACAGTGTGTCCAAAATTTTCAGGAAAATCTTAAACTGTGGTTCTCAGGGAAACCTGTGGGTTTTCTCACATGTAAAATAAGTATAATTTAAATAATAAGGAAATTGCATAATTGACCTGTGATGTAATTATATAATTACACAATAATAATGTAACAATGTATATATAATGCAACAATTTAAACAAAATTGGAGCTCAAAAAATAATTCTGAAAGAATGATTGAGTCTAGAAAATTTGGTTAATGTACTTGGCTGAATTTGGATAATTTAAGTCCATATAAATTCTACTTACCACAAAAATAAATTTTAAATTATTAGAAGTGTTATTCTTGCCTTTGCTTTTGAGAAAAGAACTTAAAAGTTATGGGATAGCAAAGTGGGGGATGGAGAATAGTGAGGTAATATTACTTGAATTATGTAAATTGTTTATGTAATCTACATATTAGCTTACTTCCTGACTTTTCTTACTTTTACTGGTTGCCCTCTGTGACTTTAGGTAGCAGATGAAAAAACAGCTCTAAAGCTAAGGGGAGAAAGAAGTGTGCAATGTGGAAAGGGAAGCCATTAAACCTTTCCTCAAAGAACAGTGACAGCTATATTTTGCAGAGTCCTGGGAAATGGTTATTATCATATCTCAGTGCTTTCTGGAGGCTAAAACATTTGACAGCATGAAGTCTGTTTATATATAAATTTACCTAAAAGTTAAAAGAAAAGTTGTGTTAAGAATTGAGAGACAACAGAGAAGGCTTTGTTGATACAAAATTTCTACTAGCTTCCACGGCCATATTGTCTGAAATTAATTCTCTTAGTTATTATTCCTTTTCCACTAAGTTCTCCATCTCAGTTTAGTGTATTAAACTACTTCAAACTAAAGAGTTTGTGATACCTCCAATTAACTTTTGCAATATTTCCAATTAACTTTTCCCCTGAAAGGAAAGAAGATGAAGAATAGGCTAGAGAAGGAAAGGAAGTGGCCCCAGAAAGGTTAGGTGTAAGGTGGTAAGGACGGAGGTTTCCTGTTCAAGTCCTTGCTCAGATGTCACTGTCCCCATGAAGCCTACCATGAGCATGTATGTATATTATCCTCATATGTATATTGCATCCAGCCCCTTCCACTTACATTTCCACTATCATGTCTTTATCCTGAGCTACTTCTTCCTATAGCATCTTATATCATATTATAAGATATTTGATATAAGATAATGTGATATTCCTATAACATATTATATCATTTTGTTATACATCATGTTTATTGCTTATTACTTGTATCTGCCAGCTAAAATATAAGCTTTATAAGGGCAGGGATGTTTATCTCTTTTGTTGTTGATATATTAAAAGTGCTTAGAAAAGTACTGGGAGATAATAGGCATCCAAATATTTGTGGTAAAGCTCTTCCACCAGAAAAATAGAAAAAGAAAAAGGGTAGCCCCACATTCCCAAAGATGTAAATAGAGTCCTAAGTACTTTGAATAATTCAAAGGAATTCAGAGTTAAATTTTTAAAAGAAGATTATTATTTCCTTCCATGTACTACTATTTAATTTCTATTTCAGTCCCCACCAGGGAGCATTGACACTGGTCATTTCAGGAAGTAAAGCTTCGACAATAAGGGAGCTTATTTTAATAAAGAGAGAGAAAGGAAAGGAGGAATGCATTGACCCATGGTTAGGGGATTTCTGAGGAAATGACTGTTTCCCTATTTTACACAGAGGGACTGTGGATTCTGCTTGTACCTTGTTTATTTATGTTACTAGAGATTGGTGAGTTTTTCAAATAAACTGCATTTATTACAGAAATATAGGTGATTTGACTTATTCCAATTGAAAGAAACAGAATGGTGAAAACATGAATAAATTTCTACTTTATTGTATCTTTGATTAGAATGTTCTGTCAGAGTCTCCAAAATTTTAATCTATAGATCAGTGTTGTTTCATAATAAAATGTTAATAGCAAAACGACAAAACATAGGGTATCCATATCCTTTAAACCATTAATCTCATTCCTAGGAATTTGTTCTATTTGTACGTAGAAGTATAATAAGCTACAAAGATGCTCGTCACTTTTTTTATACTTGTGGAAAAAGAAAAGTATCTAACTACCTACCAAGACTTCAATATGTCTACAATGCAATTTTATGCAGCCATGGTATAGAAGTATAATTATGATATGAAAAGACATCCATCAAATATGCACTCAAATGAGGAGGTTTTAAAGCAGTATGTTCTCTATATAAGTATATTAAAGCATGAACAACTTGAAAATTATACTAGCAGTGATTATCTCAGGATAGTGGAGGCTTATTTTCTTTTTTAGTTTTTCCTTTCCTGTACTTTATATATATTTTTACAATTAGAAATTAGAATGCAGAAAATATATAGTAGCGTTTATCAGAGGATAAGAAAATGTTTGTATATTACGTTTTCATATTTTTTGATATCTCACTGACTTTTGGTATTAAAAAGACTTGAGGTCTTTGAAGAGTTGTGTCACTCTTGTTTAACAGCTGTTTATGTTTGGAAAAAGGGAGAAGAATTTCATATTTTATGTACAGTGCTATAATTGTTTGAGTAGACATGGGGAGCACTATACTCACTGGGAATATGTATAGTGCTTTAACTGTTTAGAATATATTTTTGTACACTTTATCTCTTTACTGTTGTGAAAGGTGAATTATCTGTTGCTCCCACTTCAGAAAAGAGACGTTTTGTTTGTTTGTTTGTTTCCTGAGTCAGGATCTGGCTGTGTTGTCCAGGCTGAAATGCAGTGGCAAGATCACGCCTCAGTGAGGCCTCAACTCCCAAGGCTAAAGCAAGATTCTCCCACATCAACCTCCCAAGTAACTGAGACTACAGACTTGCACCACCATGCCTGCCTGATTTTTTTTTTTTTATTTCTAGAAGAGAAGAGGTCTCGGTATGTCAGCCAGGCTGTTCTCAAATTCCTGAGCTCAACGGATCCTCCACCTGGGCTTCCCAAAGTGCTGGGATAATAGGCGTGAGCCAACCTGCCCGGCCAGAAAAGAGAGATTTTAATGCTTATGTGCTTCATGTGATTTGCTCAGGTTCATTTAGCTGGTAAATCCTGGGCTCTGAAATGCAGATCTGTGTGCTTACTGAAAACATGTTTAAAAAAATATGAATAAATGCAGGCAAATAAATTATGTGCTCTGAAGAACAGAGGATGTTTTTAAGACTATCTGCATACTAAGGTATGGATATAAGACATACCACCATTTGGAATTTTCCCCTTGAGCATACACAGATATAGTCATGAGTGGCAGCTGTGATAGCACAGCTTCTGAAGGAGAGAAAGCGACAAACGACTTCCTTGACAATATTTAAAGAGTTATTTGAGCTGTTGTGTTGCAAGCTCGCCTAATTAGAGTGGCTAGTTTCCTTTGTATTCTCCTGGCAACGTACAAGGATTCCGATGAATTAGATTGAGAGTAAGAGGTTCACATCCAAGCTCCATGTATTTTTGTGAAGTTAACATTGGCAATGATATCTGGAGCTTAGTTCTTTTGTACAGTTGACCATGTGGGTTTTTTTAAATTTACATACATTTATGAGGTACATGTGCAATTTTGTTGCATGCATAGTAGGCGGCAATGTTTTGAACAATGGATTTCACCTCTTCTTTGAATGCTTATTTGAGAAAAGTAATGCAAATCCTACCTAAATAAATACATTTATATAATCATGACAACTATTAAAAACAATTATAATTTTCTTTCACTAGTACTGTGTATGTTTTGAGCTACTGGGTTTAATAAGCTAAGGAGGTATTTGAAGATTTTATCAGTCCACTTGGCATCTCAAACTTAGTATGTTGAAAACATAGCTCTTGACCTTGACCCCCTATCTGCCTCCAACAAGTCTTTCCCAATTCTGCTACTGGTGACAACACACTTTTAGTTGCTTAGACCAAAAACCTCAGTGTCCTCCTTGAGTCCTCTCCTTTCACACCCTGCGTCCAATCCATAGCAAATCATGCTGGATTTACCTTTGGAATATATATGAGTTTGAGGCACTTCTTACCAGCTCCACGGGTTCATCTCTTTCTCCTGCCTCAGCCTCCCGAGTAGCTGGGACTACAGGCGTCCGCCACCATGCCTGGCTAATGTTTTGTAGTTTTAGTAAAGTTGGGGTTTCACCACGTTAGTCAGGATAGTCTCGATCTCCTGACCTAGTGATCCGCCTGCCTTGGCCTCCCAAAGTGCTGGGATTACAGGCGAGAGCCACCGCGCCCAGCCCACCAACACTTCTTACCTGAATGTTGGCAGCAGCCTCCTAAATGGTCTCCCTCCTCTGTCTTGTACCCCTTTAGTCTATTCTCAATGCAGCAGCCAGGTGAACCCCTTTAACCTAGATCAGCTTATATCACCACTCATGTCATAAGCGCTCAAGCCCTTCACCTCTTTGAGGGAAATGGCAATTATCCCAATGTCCAACCAGGCCAAGCACTGTAGCCTCATGTTACCTCTCCCACCCATTCCCTGATAGCTACTTTTCCCCCTCCTCTGTTCCAGCCACATTGGCCTCTGCTGTCCTACGACACCCCAGGCACGCTCCTGCCTTGCCCTTTGCACTTGTTTTTCCCTCTGCCCAGAGCACAAGCTCTCTAAATTGCCCGTGGCTCACTCTCGGAGCTCCTTCAGACTTTACTCAAATGCCGGCTTCTGAGTGAGGCCTTCCTGGCTGTTGTACATGAGCTCTCCACTGCTCTGCTCTGCTTTATTTTTCTCCAAAGTATAATACTTACCATTATATGTTAGTTATTAATTTTATGTTGTGTCTGTCTTCCCTTAATATATGTATTGCAAGAAGTCAGAGATTTTTGTCTGTTTTGCTAAATATTGTACCCCTAGTACCCAGGACAATGTCTGGCACATAATAGGGACTCAACAAAAACTTGCTAAGCATTTATTAACCCAAAAGTTATTTAATTGATTATATTTAATGGCAGGTATTGTATTGAGCAGTAGAGTACTATGTATTGTTAATCTTGCTAAAATATACTTAAATATATCATTTTAATTTAGGGAGGGGGATATGACATCATTTCTGCTCTCTCACTAGAATTTTAGGTACATGATGCTGTTTAAACAAATTTGCTCAAAAAAAAATTCTATTTCAGAGATAAAACCATTGTTTATACAATTATTATACCTATAGTAGCTTTTTTTTTTTAACTTCAACTTTTCTCTCTCTCTCTCTCTCTCTCTCTCTCGTTTTTGTTTTCCAGAAAAGAGGCACAGTTAGATGAAGAAGGACAGTTTCTTGTCAGAATAATATATGATGACTCCAAAACTTATGATTTGGTTGCTGCTGCAAGCAAAGTCCTCAGTAAGTTGAATGCAACTCTCCTTCTTTGGCTAAGTTACACATAGAAGCTCAAAGAATGCGTGGTTCAAGATCACAACGCAGGGTTATGTGAGTGGTGCAGAGCATTTGTACAACCTGCACAGTTGTGTGGTGGAAATCCACATATCATGTTAGGCTCAGGCTATGCCAAGTCTTATTTTTCCTTTTACAAGTTCTTTAGAGAATAGAAAAGAGTAAATGTGTTCTTCTTCTTGTCTTTTTGAGACAGGGTCTGGGTCTGTCACCCAAGCTGCACTGCAGTAGTGGCCTAACTCCTGCTCACTGCATCTTCTGCCTGCCAGGCTCAAGTGATCCTCCCATCTCAGCCTCCCGAGTAACTGGGACTACAGGCATGCACCACCATGCCCAGCTAATGTTTTGTATCTTTGGTAAAGACAAGGTTTCATCATGTTGCCCAGGCTGATCTTGAACTCCTCAGCTCAAGTTATCTACCTGGCTCTGCTTCCCAAAGTGCTGGAATTGCAGGTGTGAGCCACCATGCCAGGCCCAGTTCTTTGTCTCCTGCAAAAGAAAGCCATGTATTCAGGAAGGAAAGCAAATTATTGGTACTTAATGTAACAACGTCAGTTGTGGTGTCAACAATATGGCAGTTATTCAAGTATAGTATGTGTTTTCTCCAAATCTCTTTTGCAGTCACAAGTTAAATTAGCTATTGGTAAAAGAAACGTGAAACTGAGATCTACCACAGACAAATACCTTCCTGAAGAAGGCAAAGTTTTAAAAATTTCATGGAGAAAAAGTTGTTCTCAAAGTGGTATCTATTATTCCCAGAGTGCTTAATTTTTAACCGGGCTATAGTTTGGATACAATAGAATGAGGATTTTAGTTTTGCTACATATAACTAGGAAACTAAATGCTATCTATAGTAGAGTAAAAAAAATTTTTAAAGATTGGTAAATATTTAATATTAACAAGAAAAATATCTAGCCTCTAGCAATCAAAATTGCAACAAACGTGAAATAACTTTTTTCTTATCAATTTGGCAGTCTCAAAAATGGAAATATCTAATGTAATGATAGAGTAGAGTTAATGGGAAATCATACATATTTTTAATGTGATGATAATTACGACAACTTTTTTGGAGAATAATTTTGCATCATGAAAGCCTTTTAAAAATATTAAAACTCTTCAGGAATTTTTCCTAAAGAAATTATTAGATCTGTTTTCATTAAGATGCATGTATGTGTTTTCATGTCGGAGATCCATATATTGTCAAAAACTGAAGAAAGCCTACATTTTCAATAAGAAGGGATTGGTTAAATAAATTATTGCATTCATATGTTGAATAAGATAGCAATTAAAATTGATACACAGCACTTTGGGAGGCCGAAGTGAGTGGATCACTTGAGGCCAAGAGTTCAAGATCATCCTGGTCAATGTGGTGAAAGCCCCTCTCTATTAAAAATACAAAAATTACCCAGGTGTGGTGGCGGGTGCCTGTAGTCCCAGCTACTCGGGAGGCTGAGGCCGGAGTATGGCCTGAGCCCAGGAGGTGGAGTTTGCAGCGAGCTGAGATTGTACCAGTGCACTACAGCCTGGACGACAAAGTGAGACTCTGTTTCAAAAAAAAAAAAAAATTAATATGGAAAATTTAAGTTTTAGGAAATATTAATGATTGTTTATTAAGAAAAAAGCAGAACACCAGGGTACATATTATATGTAATCAAGTTATTAAATACACATATTTATATAAAGACTATTTTATATCAAAATATTGTCATGTGCATTCTTGATGATTTTAAAAATTTGTGTTTTTTGGAAAAAAGAAGTAGTATATCAAATATATGCTTTAAAAAGGTCAAAATTAAGTACAGGGTGAGTATCGCTTGTCTACAACTCTTGGGACCAGAAACGTTTAGGCTTTCAGATTTTTTTTTTTTTTTTTGGATTTTAGAATATTTGCATATCCATAAGAAGATATCTTGGGGATGGGATTGAAGTCAAAACATAAAATTCATTTACGTTTCATGTACACCTTATAGACGTAGGCTGAAGGCAATTTTGTACAATATTTTAAATGATTTTCCGCAAGAAACAACGTTTTGACTGCAGTCCATCACGAGTTCAGGTGTAGAATTTTCCACGTGTAGTGTCATGTTGGTGACCAAAAAGTTTCAGATTCTTGAGCATTTCGAATTTCAGATTTTCAGATTAGGTATGCTCCACTTGTAATTTGTAATAGAAGCTGCAAAACTGGTTGCTTTGCTTGTAAATGCAAATGTACACCATTAATATGTTTATACATTGTCTTCTCTGATTTCATTGTATTGTCCTGAAGGGATTTTTTTCCTATGATCTATGTTTGCCATGCACAAAAATTGAAGACATTTTAAATGATTTTAATAAACACTTCCCTTCATTCTTTCTATTAAGAATATTTCACCTATTATATGCTTTTTTTCCCCTCTTGAACTTGTAAAATAGATCTCAATGCTGGAGAAATCCTCCAAATGTTTGGAAAGATGTTTTTCGTCTTTTGCCAAGAATCTGGTTATGATACAATCTTGCGCGTCCTGGGCTCTAATGTCAGAGAATTTCTACAGGTAAGCAATTTGAGGTCCTATAGTTAAAAGTTCTGTGTTTGTAACTCTCAAATGTAGACTCTAGAATCCTTTTGTTCACTCAGCTGGACAAGAGTGTCTTGTTTCTGAAATGGAATCATCGTGACCTTTTTCTAGTTCACATAAAATCATAGTTATTGGAGGGTCTTGAATCCATTTTAGCATTATATTTTTTCTTTAACTTCTGGTTCCTGATACTGAATATGCAAGTCGTAAATTAATGTTCCCTGAAAAGCTCCAGGTGGTCTTTTGTGATCTGTTCAACTGCCCCTTTTTGGGGGTAATGGCTATATATCCTAGTGATTGTGGTTTTAGACATTTAATATGGCCTTATTTTCTATTTACAAAACATTCCTAGTTTGTAGATATAATCAAGCAATGTATCAGTGTTTATGAAGTTCTACCTGGAGCTCAAAGTTTAGGAAAAAGTAGCAGGGTTTTCAGGTGTTCTGTCACCAAAACATACTTAAGACACATTATCATGAGTTACATATTAATTAATCTACTGTACAAGGGAAAATAGGAAACAGTTCAAAGTCAGTTTCAGGTGAAAAAGATAAATAATGCAATCAAAGGCCTTTGTCTTATATTCTTGTTAAAATTACCTTAAAAGATTTTACTAGTAAATTACACATTAGATAAGGGACTATTTCTGGATTGACTATACTATTTTAAGCATTGGCATTTGTGAGACCCTCTTCTTGAAATGTGTTAACATTGAAAATTATGTGGTTGTTTGCAAAGGATATTTCTAAACTGGCTGCTGAAAGCTGCCAGATCTTGCTGGAAAATGATGTCAGTGCAATACTAGCTGAATCGAAGCCCAGTTTTGAGGGAATGTAAACACTTTCAATCCAGCTGCATTATTGATTTAACAGCCAAAATAAGAACTTTCGTGTTTAATCAAAATGTCTGTTGTTTACATAGTGACATTTTTCTTATAAACTTAAAACAGCATTAAATCAAGTTGGAAACTGGTTTGCAATCTCCTGCCATGGATTTACTAAACTACTGGTGTCAAAAAAAGCTGCCACTTCCAAATGAAGTAGCTGCCAAGAGATATTTAAATAAAATTGAACAGGCAGCATTTAATGGGATTATTTTAAATGGATTAAAGTTTTGGGAGATATGGGGTTTTTGAATACATATTTCACTTTTTAGTACTTTTGTTGACCACTATCAACTTATCAGCAAAGTTTCAACTTTCAGTTGTTCTGGCTTTTAACTCTCTCTCTCTCAATGGCCATGTTTACATAACAAAACAAAGATTCAAATGGTTTTATTAATTCCTTTTTTTTTTTTAACCTGTGCTCATGGTGACCATCTGCTAAGCTTGTTACAGCACAGTAAGAGAGCAAGCAGCCTTTTAGGTGTGTTTCTCTGTGTTCCAGAACTGCTTTATCCAATGGGACAGTCACTGGTTGCATGAGGCTGCTCAGCATTTAAAATGAGATGTGCAAGCTGGGGAGTGGCTCACGCCTGTAGTCCCAGTTACTCGGAGGCTGAGGCAGGAGGATCACTTGAGCCTGGGAGATGGAGACTGCAGTGAGTGAGCTATGATCACACTGCTGTGCTCCAGCCTGGGTGACAAAGTGAGACCTTATCTTTACATACATGCATACATACAACAAAGCACAATGTCCTGCAAGTGTAAAATATACACCAGATGTCAAAGACAGTAGAAAAAGAATAGAAGATGGCTCATTCACAATTTTATATTGATTTCATGTTAAAATGATAATATTTTGGATATATTTGGTTGTATAAAATTTAGTTAACATAGCTTTAAATTATACACAATTTTATTTTATTTCTCTTTCAATGTGAGAGTGAAAAATGAAGAAACTAGAAAGTTAGAATACTGTAAAGTTTTCATCAGTATTTTACATTATGATTCAGTTCTTTCATTTTCTCCTGGTTTTGAAATTATACATTTTAAGGGCAAGTTGAATGTGTTAAAGTACTGCTTTTCTAAAAAGTAGATATTTATGTTATCATTAGGCTGATTACACAGAAATTAAGTGGACTTCTTCTGTGTGACTGTAAAACAAAATCATTAACTTTCATACATTGTTTTAACATACCAGCACACATATAAAGATTGATATTTTTATTACATAAATTAATAAAATATTCTTTATGGTGACTTCAACTCTTCGCTAAAAATTTAAAGACTTTCTTTCTGTTTCAGCCCTGGTTTTAATCAGTCACCACATCTTTAGATTCTATTTCCCAAATACTGAGCTTTGGGAATTCTGCCACTTTTCTCTATTTCCCCCACACTTCTTTGGGAGAGTCTGCCGTTATCTAGAGGTTGGATGGGTTCCCTGCTTCTCTTCATGACTCCTCCAATCTCTTCTCCATCCTATAACTCTGGTGCTTTTTCTGTAATGCAAAGGTATCTCAACGTATCGTTTTCTTGCTTAAACTATGGAGTAATTTTTTATTACTCATTGGAAACTGTCAAAATATTTAAAACAATAGAAACCTTCATTCTTTCTCCATCTTCCCTCTCCCTCTCCCCTAGTCCAGCCAAACTTAACCGCTTTCAGAAACTTGTATTTATCTTGTTCCCGCTATCCTCTCAGATTTTCTACTGCTCTTCTCTATGGGTTCCAGCATTTTCCCCATAGATAAATGCTATTAATCCTGCAGGTAAAATTACTTTTCTGGGAAGGCGCCACTCCTCTCTCCAAACTCTGTCTTATCCTAGTCATGGTAACTAACCTCTCTCTTATTTTCATAGGACACTGCATTTCCCAAGCCACAGTAGTTTTCATACTGCATTATCATTCCCATTTGATGGACTGGAATGTAAACTTCAGGAAGCCAGAGATCATGTATAATCTCTTAATGTTTGTACCTTCACAGGTGCAATCTGTATATCTGAGAATAAATGAATATATCTTTTTTAAAAAAATGAATATTTGTTTTTTGTGCAAAAGCCGAAAACACACAATAGGAAGCAAACACACCAATAGATCAAGCTGAATTATTTGACTCAGGGTAACCTATTTTGAGGGAGAGCCTGTAATTTTATTTACAGATGAATCATAGATTGAAATATAAAAGAAGAGACATATACTAGATCAATTTCCTTTTCAGGTGAACATACTAAATTACTGTCTATTATTTAATTTACAGGGTACATTGCATGTATCTGTTGACACTTTTAAAATAGTCATTCTAATATTTCCATTTTAAGCTTTTAGGGAGCACTAAAATAGCTACTGAAATCATAACACGGGAGACTATTTGATTATGCGTTAGCTGAGCAACTCTGACTCACTCATCATAGCAAGCACAATTTCCTTGGAAGTAGTCTGTCCACAGCCTCTCAGTTGGATACATTATTAAGAATAGGTCTGTCTTATATATGTATATACATACCATACCATTGTTTTTCCTTTTTTTGAAACAGTTTAAAAACAAATTTCTAAGTACTAGACACAGCATATAATAGGCAATTAATGAAACAGTCTTTGAATAATAGAATTAATTAATTCTGAAGTATATGTGTCTTTATAATTATTTAGTCCAGCCTGTTTTATCAGGATAATACCTCTTTTGCTTAAATTTTGTACTCAAGGACATGCTGTAGAGATAATATCTGTAGCTTAGCTCCAGAAACATATTTCTTTTTTCACATGGACGTTATCATATCCATTCACAGTTGACTTAACGAATACTAACGTATCTACCCCCTTGAAAGGCTTTGGTGCCAATATCCAATTCATGACCCTGCTTATGCAGTCTCTCCTGTGCTTCCAAATTCAAGTTTAAAAAATTTGCATTATGCTTATTTTAAGCCACCCTGAAACTTTAACCAAAAATAGCTGGAAAGCATTTCACAGTTTAGAATTGATTTTTTCTTAAATCGCCAGTGAAACCAT